TGGTGCCAGGGAACATTGAGTTTTTCCTGTAATACGCGTTGCATTTTGTTGCCACCCAAGAGAGAGAAAGCTCTCTAGAGCTTGGAAAGAGGCAAGCGAAGATGATGCTGTTGATGTTGCCTTGAGTTTCTGGTTGCGCACGGTCCTGTGCCACCACGGCCTCCATCCACAGAAAAGATAAACCGAACGGAGCTGGGAAATAGGAAAGTGGAGTGGAGGGCACCAGCAAATCTCATGATGAGGGTTGGTTAAATAATAAAGAAAGTATTTGCTAATAAAAGATAATTTTTTCCATGCTATTTCCAGGGCTAATAAGCAGAGGAAGTGGAGAGAATCGATTCTCCTGTTGCATGCTTGTGTATGATCAGGCCACAAAATTCAAAACACATGAGTTTTCAAAAAGTCCACAACTTCAGCCTTTTAAAATGGGTTCCTTTCCCCAATTCTTGCTTGTGATCAGATAATGACCTTCGTAAGCAAAACAACCCCAGCTGTATTTCATAATGGGAATATACTTCTGTACATTGTAATGAGCTGTTAACAGGGAACAGTATCGTGTGAAAATCTGCACGTTTCCCATGATGCTGCCCTGATTTAAAAGCCATCCATAAATTATTCACTATTGCAGATTTCAAGGTCAGGATTTGCCATAAGATCTAGTTTTTCTCCCCCAAAAACAATGTTTTCAGCAGGCTGGAATTTAAAATAGAACAACCTGACCTGTCAGGAATCTTGGGAGTTGTGTGGGAAGTACAGCGGCATCTGTGTTGGGTACCCCAAAGTGCGTGGCCAGAGCCGGGTGGCTTGTGCGATGCAAGGGGAAATAACACCTTTGGTCCTCCAAAACTCTTTTTCACCAAAGGAAGGCATCCCAAGTTTTGCAGACAGGCCTGAGTTGGTGGGTTTGGTTGAGTTTTGAGAGGTTTCCAGCAGAGCCAGGGGCTGGCTTTCGCTGCTGGGTCCAGTTCCCAGGGTCCCCTTCATGATGCCAAGCAGCACCTGGACACACAGCTGGGGATCCAGAGGAGTTTCTGAACTAAGGCACTTTTTCTGCTGGATGTGAATACTTGATTATTAAGCATATATTACAATCCCGAATATTATTTTAGCTGCAAGTTCAGTCTCCGTCCTCTCCAGCTTTTTAGGTTTGATCGTATTCCAGAGGCTTACTACAAACATGCAAAGAATTTCAGCAAAACTCTATGGAACACTTTTATTAAATTCTTTCAGTCATGCAGGCTAAATTAAATGACAGCTCTGTCCACCAAAAGATTACAAATATCAATCAGACTTCTCCCCTAAACTCATGAAGAAATTAAATATTTTTCTAAAAGTCTTCTGTTCCCCTTAATAATCTGTTTGGCTGTTCTCTTTACTTTACATATTCTTGAAGTATGTTGAAAGGGATGATTTCTGCCCTAAAGGAGCACAGTGCTTGTAGCTCACTGCCGATATTTTATCTGAATTTGTGGGCACAATTTTGGGTGTTGCTCAAATTGATATTTGCAATACCGTGGGCACAGTTTCCAAAAGGAGAAAACAGCTATTAAACTACGGTCCAAGGAATACAATGCTGATTTCTTTTCAGAGACGGGAGATTAATGATAAAAAGTATGTTGCAGCTCTCACTGTTTGTATTAAAATGGGAAAAACAAGACCAGGTGGCTCAGTGGGCTGGTGGGATGGTGAGCTCTGAGTAAAGTGGTTGTAAAGAATGAGGAGTTATGAAGATTTCAACATACGGTGGCCTGTCCAAATCCAGCTGAGTCATTACCCCGTGTTGCCGCATCTGTTTTTGTCTGGTCACTGTACGGTGAATTGTGTAATTCATGCTGGGATGCCCCGGGGAGCTTTTCTTGCAGAAACACTTGGTGTACCGTTCCCATCTGGCTTGTTTTTTAAGCTGTAGGGAGACCACAGGACAAGCCAAGGAACAAAAATGTATATGGAGGCCAGCTGGGGCTGCCCGGCATTCTTCATGCCGATGATTCTGCATCTGACACGGCAGTGGAGGTACCACAGCACTGCCCGCCCTACCCATCCGGAGGGTCACGAAATAAAAGGGATGAGATGGGAAATAAAACTGATGCACATCTGAGCCCGTGGAGCTTGTAGTCAGGAGCAAAGGCCACGTGTTTTTTGCCGCAGTGGTTGTGCAGATGGGAGCCGAATGCCCTGCAGACACCTCGGAGACGCGTGCGTGCGCACAGGCTCCCACAATTAGTGCCCTTGTTTACATCGGGTACATTATAGTATATTTTTGCCATGATGGTTTAGCACAGAAGAGTAGATATGACGCTAAACTCTTACAGCTGGATGAATGGTGATTAAGTTAAAGGTATCTCACTGTTACATACTACTTTAGTGATCACCAGACTGTGTATTTTCCTGCCTCTTACCATAGGCCTTAAACCACAGGACATGAATAAACTGTAATGTTAGGGTACAGTCAGCTCCGCTTGCTATTTAAGGATGGAGAATCTGTGTTCAGTCCGCCAAATACAGCTTCATAAAGCGTGCAGACCACCGGGGAGGTTGTGTCAGGGTTGATGAGCGGGACTGTGGCCGCTGCTCTGGCCAAAACCGAGGCATCTGACAGCGTTCCCGGGTCTGGGTGCACCAACGGAGCAGAGTGGGATTTCCACCCCGCACAAGGTCTCCTGCTAACGGTGCCAGTAGGTTGTGTGTCGCGGGCTTCGTTTCTCCCACAGCCAGATGCAAAATTTGACTCACTGAACCTCCCTGTGGCTCTCAGCAGCTGGGGAGCACGTGGCAGAGGATGGAGCTTTTGTCCTGGGAATGCAAAGAGCAGTGTGGTGCAGGGATGTCACGTTCACTCGATCCAAAGTCGGGGCCCGTGTGGCATTTCTCAGAAAGTTCCTGTTTTATTGTGACTACAAAGGCGAAGAAATTAAGCTGCTAATTTATGGCGTGCCAAGAAAAAAGTAGTAATACAAGAAATGCTCAGTAATTTTAAAGTTTGAAAACACACAATTGAAAAATCCTGATTTTTTTTTTCCCCCCCACCCCCACTGAGCTTATTAAATCTGAAAATATCCCAAAGCTTATTTCTCTCCACCAGAAAGTTCCTCTGCTGTTTCGGGTAAGTAATGAAAATTGTGCCGCTGAGCCGCGCGGTGGGGTCCCGGCTGGCTTGCTCCGTGCCTTGAATGAAGAGGAGTGAGCATCCTGCCGCTGAGCGGTCGCGGTCCCCTTCCACCACGATGGGCTTGGTTTTTTAGCAATGGTGCACTGGGGCAATGGGCTCAAACTGGTGCGTGTTGTAATTAGCTGCGGTGCGTGGGAGACCCTCGTTCCACCTCGAGCTGATGTACTCTGTGCTGAGGACTGCTGTTAGCTCTGGGCTTCGTTTGGAGGAGAGAAATGCCAGTGATGGTGTAAAGGCTTGAGCGGTCGGCACGTTCGGTTCCTGTGCGAGGTCTTCCCCATGCTACCCCCAGCGCTGCGTTTGCCTTGTTTGTTTGTTTGTTGTTTTGTGGTTACGTGGTATTTTGGGAAAGGCCTGTAAATGTGTGAATAAAGTTCCTGAAGAGTGAACTTAACCGGTCTGAGCCAAAGCCTGCTGAAGGCCCCAGACAAGCATCCCCCAAGTTTCAGGAAGATGAGGTGCATTTTGCTTCCGACCGTGGATGTGGGACCGGCTGGACTTTTGCACGTGCCAAGGAGAGGTTTGCTGCGTTGTTTGATGCAGGCGGGGAACCCGGAGGGGTCTCATGTCGAGCCATTTGTTTTTCATTACGTTATGCTCCTCTAATATAAACACTAAGGTATGTGGACATTGCCATGGACAGAGTGAGCCAGATGCCAAAAGCATTCCTCCGAGGCTGTATAAACTTCAGCAGCTAAATATTTTAGAAACTGTTTTCTAAGGCTAGCTTAATAGTTTAAAAATATAACCTAGATTCCAGATATTAAAAAATGCCTTGAAAGGCACGCATATTGCTGCAATAGATGGAACTAACTAAACCTCTGAAGTATGCAGAAAGCTCCCATTTTGCAATATCTTCTCTGTTTCTTATCCTTTTCATATTTTTTTTTTTTAGTGCTGAGATTAAATTCAAGAAGGCTTTTAACAGCAGAGTGGTAGTGATAGAAATTTTCAGCATATATTAACCGGCTGACTCACACTTTTTCAAAGTGGATCTGGGTTTATGATGAAATAGCTGGCTGCTTTCAGCAACAGCAAAATCAGAAAAGTCAGAGGGAAGAGGAAGCCAATAGCTTAAAATGTGTTTAGTCCGTCTTGTGCGCTGCGAAGGGGCAGCGTGGGGAGCTCCCACCCGTTTGGAAAGCAGTCCTGACCCCGTGCTCAGGGAGGTACCCGAATTGCTGTCTCAGGGTGACTAACCTGTCACCGTTAGTTAGAACTCTGCTTTAAAACATCCTTTAAAAGATCCTTTCCTTGTGTCGCTTGGCTACCCCAAAAACTTCAGCTACCATCCTCTGCAATTCAAGAGTGAGGAATGAGATTTTTAGGTTATTTTTGTGGGGTGCCATAAGGACCCGAGAGATCTGTCATTTCCTTTCACACGTGTCACGTCTCAGATGGGAGATAGTCCCTGAAAGCAGTGAGAATCCCTGAACAGAGTTTCCTCTTGCTGCTGGATTTTGCCCCATCTGGCCTAACTCTGGACACGTGTTTTGTAGCCGACCCCTGAGCTCGGGTGGCACTGGGGTCTCGCAGGGCTGGTAGACGTGCTCCAGCTCACGCGATGCTGGGGAGAAGCCAAAGGGCAGAGTTACTCAGTGTGGTTTTTCCTTCTCCTTTTGTTTCTTCCATTGAAGTTTTGTGTGCAGCTTTGTCCACGATGAACCTGAGCTCGTCAGTGCTTTGGCATGAGGAGCGCAATGGGGTCCTGTCCCACCGTCCTGGCACCGCTGAGCCCGGTCCCCCTCTTGTCACCCCATCCCCTTGCAAGCCCGGCATGTAGAGGTAGGAGGGAAGCTGTTGTATGACTGTGGCACCTTGTGTCTTTCAGCTTCTCAAAGGGATGGCTTTGCCCCGCCGAAAAGCTCCAGGCAAAACCCCAGAGGAGGAGGAGGAGGGGGAGAGCGGAGACTGCGATGACGAAGATGACTGCGGTGGAGGCTCCGGGGATGGAGAGCTGCGAGTGAGGAACCAGCTCCGGTTCTTAGCAGGTGATGGGGCCGGTGGTCCCGCAGCGGCTGCCCCTCTCAGGGTTGTGGGTGTTTGTGATGGTGCAGGGAGCTGCTCTCTGGGGTCTGCTCAGGGTCACTTGCTGCAGGCACCACAGGTGCTCTCCATGGCCACGGCCCAGAGGCTGTTGATGCCCAGCATCGTGCAGGCTGGCCTTGGTGCCAGCAGGGACAGCAGCTGGAGAAGTAATGCCGCTGCTTTTCCAGGTCGGTTTTGCAGGGGTGTGTTAAGGGCAACTCATAGGAGAGGGTTTGAGACAGGTTGCAAACCTGCTGGCGGTCCCAGAGTCACCCTTCTTTCTCTTTCCCACTGCTGCCCATGCTCATGAGAGTAGAGACGAGCTTTTCTGGTTTCTGGAGGACATCAGAAAGTTGGTAAAGATCATTTGACTGCAGCAAATTATGGTTATTTCTGATCTAGGGTTTAGAAGCCCGTGGTAATTTTTTACAAATAACTCAGGCTCATTTTGCAGAAGTGATTTAGGTACTCAGGAGCCTAAAACTGCATTGCTTGCCAGTATGAGTCATGTCTTTGGTTGCTTTGAAAATGGCCATGAGGCACTCCTACTGCTTTGAAGCTACATAATTAATAAGGTAGTCCATGGTCAGTCATCAGGAGGAGAAAGCGAAGGACCGGCTTGTGACTTGGGCAGTCACACGTGCTGTTGGCGTGTGCCTTCTCCCCAACCCACTGTCCACTGTCATCCTCCTCCTGGCTCTGTGGAGCTCGGCAGCATCATCCGTTTTGCTCGCACGAGCAAGACCAGGCTGTTTGAGGCCACGTCCGTCGTGGATGAGCGGTGTCCGCTGGACGTAGGTCTGCAGGCTGGAGGCTTGGCCCAATTACTGTTCGTTCCAGTGCTGCGCAGTGCTCTTTGAGAGACCAGACAACTGAACCTGGATAAAATCAGCTTTACAGCTTTGAAGTTTAAGAGGCAAATTTGGGCTCTTAAACGAAGCACAGATGTTTATAAATTCCCTTCCATTGGTCTGGGATAATTAAAATATCCTTAATGAAGTGAGAGCTGAAATATTAAATGCCAGTTTCATATCAAAGATTATTGACACATTATGTAAAATATATAAAATACATATATTCAAATATTGGGTATGGGAAAGAAAAGGCTTTTTAAGTCCTCCAATCCAGGTCTGAAAGAGAAATATAGAATTCGGAGAAGGATAAAATGTACTTCATTTCATGCGAGAACTAAATATCAAAGTGTACGTTAAGGAAATACAGGTGATCCTCATCGTCCTGAGCCGAGAGCAGAGATACGTGTTTCATTTTCCATGATCTTTGTGTCACACCTTAATGCTGTTTTTAATGTGTTTCTAATTTCCTCTTATAGCCTTCCCCATAATATCATCAGTGATCTCTGAAGTCGGGTATATAATCCTCTCTGCCTTTTTCTGTTCCTCTAGGCTAGTTTAATTACTGTATTGATCTTCCCGACAACCTGCCTGTCTAGCAATTTAGACCTCTCTTGTCACTGCAGTACACGAACATGTAATAGCAAAAGAGGACTCGTCCTCCCTGTGCTGCTCTTCTGGAGGGTGTTTGCTGCTGCCTTTGCTGCAGGATGGGTAAATATTAACTTTAAAGCAGCAGTGGCTTTGGGACATTGTGTTCCTGGCAGGTTAGGTCTTTCAGGTTGCTGAGTGCGTGAGGTTTGGCCAACACGGCTTTTAGGCACCGACTGGCCTCGGAGGACACGAGCTGTGCCATCGCGGTGGCCAGGGAGACTTTGTGGTTCTTCCTCACTTGCCTGTGCCATAATGCTCTTTTTTTGTGTTTTGCTTTAGAACAGAAAGGCAAAGCTGATCTGACAGTGACAGAATCCTATTTGGTTGGTATTGGATATAAACTGTGACTCTGTTCAAGTTTTATGTTGGAAACAAGCCCGGGAAAAGTTGCTGATGGTGTGGAAATACTCACTTTCAACATTTTTGAGAATGATATTTCTTTTTACTTTGAAAGGGTATTTTTCAATTAATTTTTTTCCATCATATCATATCACATGTACACAGCACGAAATAAAAGGGACCAGAAACCATTCCACATTCTCCCCTCCCCTTTCCGCAAATTCTAAATTTTAGGTTAGCATGCCGATTTGAAATGATGCCAGGCTTTGAAATCTGGAAATAGTTTACAAAATGAACTTTTGCATTTAGTGTGGCTTTATCTCTCTCCTTCCCAAGGTGGTTACCCTGTAATAGAGGCAGAAAGGACTGGGAGTGGCTGGGGTTGAGTTACTGGCTCCCTGGTTTTATCCCATGCTGGATGCTCTGCAGTGTAAAGGCAGGAATGAAGCTGGATGGCTGGGGGAGCTGGATGGCTGGGGGGGGTCTGTGTCGTAGCGCACTGGTCAAACCCAAAAACCCCTTTGGAGGAGGGTGTTTGAGTGCCTCTGCCGACTCCCAGGGGTTCGCAGTCGGGGGACGCAGCTTGGGTGCTTTGCTTTCCTTTTCTTAGAGGCTTTGTTCAGCTTAGGAGGAAATTTCCTTGGCCTCGTGATGGCAGTGGAGAACTCCTCCCTTACGAAGGGTTTCCCAAGCCTTGCAGGTGGACTTGGCAATGCCTTGGGGAGGAGGAGAGGTGGGTGCCTGGGGCTGGCGCTGGGTTTGGCTGGCAGTTGAGTGAAAACACTGGCAGAGTTTGCCACCTCCGAGGTCTTTGCATCTCTTGGATGCAGTCGGAGTTTCTCCTGCTCGCTGGCGTGGGTACCGCTGGTCCTGCCAGCTAACTGGCAGCTTGGTACTGGCCTCACCGAGATGTCCCCTCAGAAGGTCTTGAAAACGTGGAGACAAGAAAAGAGCAAAAGGAAAAAAAAAAAAAAAGTCAGTCTCAAATACAGACTAGTTTTGATTTATCGCCTGTTGTATAAAATGTAACCTTTGTTTCCTATTTATAATGAGCCTGTAATAACTGGACAGTCAACTTAAACTTTAATGATTTAAACATACTTGTAAACTGTCAAGTCAAAAGTTTGTGAATGACTATAAACATATGTTGGTGAGCGCTATATGCTAATAAATTCATTATTATGTTGCCCCAGTGGGAAACATGGAGATGGCAGGCTTTTTTTTTATGATAGGTCTTTTATTGTTTGTCACATCTGTAACACATTAAGGATTTTGAAGGCAGATAATGTTTACAATAAGGGGGAGGGCTGAAAACCTCCCAGCTCAGAGAAGAGCTCATCTTGTTTGTCAATGGAGTAACTGTGGAGCCGGCACCCTGGCCGTGCAGCTCTAAAAATAGAGCTGTGTACATACACACACATATATTTATGCCACACCAATGGCAAATCATGCCTGCAAATAAATTATAGTATTTTCCCCCAAATTACGAGTCAGTGCAAATGTCTTCCAGGCTGTACGACGCAAACATGTGCTCGCGCACCGCTGGGATCGGCATCCTACAACAGGCACCCAAAGCAAACGGAGCCTGGGGTGGCTGGCGCTTCGCTGCTGCTCCAGATAGCCACCCTCTAATTAGCTCACCTCCGGCGTTCTCGCTCGAGATGCCACCTATAACCAGTGAGCTCGTTGCCAGAAAGCCTGAAAATAAAACATGGGTGCTGGAGAAGCTCCTGCGCCAGGCGGGTGGCTTTAGCAGGCACTGGGGGAGAGGAGGTAGATGCTTTTCGGGGGGGTCTGCAAAGGTGGTGTGGTCCAGCTCACCTGTGCGGGGATGCTGTGCCCCTGGGCATCTCACAAGCTTTGCCAGGAGGAAAAAATTCCTTTTAGTGGCCAGAGCATCAGCCAGGGAATGTTCTGAACGATCCAGCAACTGGGGAGGGGGGGCAGTGGGAGGATGAGGGGAAGATTTACCCTTCCAAAATATCTGTGTTAGGCAGTAACAAAAGTTGTCTTGGGAACAGATGGATTTGGCACAATTAAGTAGAAATAGTTTGTCCTGGGAAGGGAAGTTGGCCTCATCCCATGAGATATGTAAGGATAGATGTGTGCAATAAAGACATAAAGATGGTTCTGCAAGTTTCTGTGTGTAAAACAGCTCCCCTGCCTGGCTGTTCCTGCTGCGTAACCTGTAGTTAGTTTTGCATCTCTGCTCTCCCTTGGTTATTTCTAAGGGGGAGTTTGTAGTTCGAGCCCCCAGGGAAGCCCCAAGTTTTCCTGCACCCTGCCCGTTTGCTGCTCCAGCTGCCGCCACGTGCTGCCGGACCAGCCAGGCAGGCTGGACCTCTGTGTAGGTTTCCAGCAATCCATGCCATACCCAGGTGCTGGATGAAAGTCAAGATCAGCACAGTGTCCCTTGATTTACCCAGATATGTAACTTTTTAATAGCTTCTGGCTTGCTTTGCCACTGGTTTATCCTCTTGGCAGGGTTGTTTCAAGAGCACTCTTCAAATTGCAGGCTTGAGCATCGCCACCTGGGCTGGCTGAGCATGGTTTCTTCCCAGGTGGAAAAACCATTTGTTGGTAACTCCTCTATACATGTTACAAAGGCTTTGTTGCTTCCAAAGGGGAATATGGCCAGGTTGCGGAGCGGGTGATGTCTCTGGCAGCCGCCTTCCCAGAGCGAAGGGGCTGCCGTGTTCGTGTGGCCATGCCCTGTGTGGGCACGGAGTGGGACCCTGCTGTTTTCTTCCTTGCACCGTGTTTTTGGAAGCTGTTCTGAATCCCCGTGAGTTGCAACTTTCATCCTATTCTGCTTTTAAACATCTCCAAATGTCCCAGTAAACCATTCCCCGTTTTAGAGGTCTCGGTGCTGAGATGTCATTCCTGCAGCTCAGCCTTTGGTAACCTTCCTCTCATCACCCCGTTTTCTCCCAGGTTTGTTTCTGGAGGTGCTGTGAATCTGAGCTCCTTCCATCCCCCTGCTGTGGCAGGGAACAGGAGATGCTGCTGCTACTATGACATCTGAATTGCTTTTTCCTGGGGTGCAAAAGGCTGTTCATTTTGGGGAGCAAACGGGTACCGGGCAGGTTTCCCTGCCGAGGCGGTGGCCATGTGTGGCA